GCTCATACCATGCCAAACTGGTCTTTTTGATGTTCCTTATAAAAATTTTGTTTCCCATCTGTACTGGACTCCACCTGTGTCTGGAATAAACACTTCTCACCTCTGTCTGGCATAATTTCTGGTTTATTTCAAAGTTCAACTCAAGTACTAGTTTCTATATAAGACTTTTCCTGGTGCCATCAGCTATTAGTGTTTTCCCTTTAAAATTACTTTGTGTATACACCTTCATATGTATATGTTGTCTCCTTTGGCTAGATTATAAGCTGTCTGAAGCCAATTTTGCTTTGGTCATGTGTCCTCAGTGTGGTAGGCACTCAACACATGCTTATTTATTGATTATAGAGGGATGCTTCATATCTTTTGAGGCAAGAAAGTCAGGAAAAAATTAGGAGGATTATACCACTCTTTTCCCTTGGTCATGATGAAAAAGGGTGGAGGGTAGGCAGAGAAGAACTGATTTTATGGATTGACTTTTTCTGAGTTTTTTTCTTCAAATCCTTAATGTTTCAACCTTTTTTGTTAAAATTGTCCTGTTAATCACTTTCTGACTCCCCTCCCATTTTGCTATTGGATGTTTACCTGATGTTCACCTATAAGGCTGCCTTAGCTTTCTTGTGGAATGTGGGATGTACAGTTCAGTAGACTGAATCCTTGGTATAAGTACCCACTGGTATGACAGAACTGGCCCTAAACAGGTTTTAGTCCCTTCCTTCAATCCTACACAGCCACACTTGCTGGCTTCTTGCCTCAGTTCTTTTCTTGGTTCTCCTCCTTTTCTTGTTACAGATTGATAGAATTTTTATCTGCAGCTTTTTCTTTTTCTCCTGATAAGCTCCTGGAGGTTAAGAACTGTTTAATTTTTGTCTTTTTGTCTTTAGCTCTTTGTGGCATGCCTGGCCATAGGAAATGATTGATTGTTGTTTGTTGATTGATTGATTGATTTTATACTTTCTGCCAGTGAAACAACCACAGCTACTTAAAAAAAAATAACTATGTCTACACTCCTATACAAAGCACTCTGCTCTGTGCCAAGCAACTTGATCATATGACTCTCTGGTTTTGACCCCACTGGCACCACTTATATGCTGGCTATAGAACTTTATGTAGGGAACTGTCAATGAGGAATCCCTCTTTACCAATACAAATTGGCATCTACTTTGCAGATGTTGGCTGGAGCAGTGAGAAGTTAAGTGACTTGCCTAGAGTCAGAGCCAGTATGTATCATAGGCAAGATTTGAACCCATGTCTTCTGAACTGTACAGCCTTTAGACTTGTGGAAGTAGGTCCACTGTTTTGGAGAATAGAAGCAGCAACTTCTCGGAGCCTCACTGACTGACCTCTAGTCACTTGGAGACGTGCCCAACCTGAGAAAAGGATATAACTAGCAATTCCAGTTTTATACTGGAATTTAGCTTGAAACCATGTGCCTTTGGTGCCTATCTGGTGGCTTTGAGAAGAGGATCTGTGATATCCTGGCCCTGGGAGCTTTAGACTTGTACGTGAGATATGGCTGTGGTAGCTGCCTCCAGAGAGCCATCTCCAGGCATCCCTGATCTATATCTTGCCACTGGACACAGATGGCTCTGGAGGAGAAAGTGAGACAGGTGACCTTGCACAGCCTCTCTCACTTAAATCCAATTCACTTTCCAGTCATGGCATCATCTTCCTGATGTCATGACAAACAACAATAACAACAACAGCTACCTCTAAAGGTCTTCACTGGCTTACATGACCTGTACTGCTCTTTGGGAAAGCTTCCAATGGGGTGGAGGAGGGAGTATTTGATTCTTCCTGGACCACTCCCTGGTGACATACATGGTGGGAAGAAGTATGTAGGGCATATATCCTCTGAGAAACACCTGTCTGCTGTCACAGACTCCTGTGTTTTCCCTGATTTCTCTTGAGATCTGCCCACCTGCTGACACTAACCCTAGGATCACAACACAGCACTGGGGAGTTTTGCCTCTCCATTGAGGAGCATAAAAGATCAGGCAGTAGCCACTCTTATCCACTACTCTTACCACCTCTTGCCATGCCAAAACAGAAGCTGGATACCCACTTCTGGGGAGAACCAGCTCAGCACCCATTCTCAGTAGGACTGGGTCATGCTTACCCACTGATAGGGACTCAGGACTCCCCCCCTGCCACAGCAGAAAATCTAAATGCCCATGAAATAGGCACTCTAACATCACTCCAAATCTCCCTTTCCTCACAATAGACAACTTAGAACACCACCTATCTACTGACACTGACCCCTGCCCCCCATCCTTCATGTGGTTTGAACAGTGGGATCCCATTCCCCAGTAGCAGCTTAGTCTGATCCTTTCCTGGGTGGCAGTCACTCAGAAATGCTTCCCCTGCTTCTCTGCCAACTGACCTGAGTCTTCTCAGAATATCTTGAAACCCCATCCCTCCTGGGCACCAAGAAAAACCTTCATGTGCACCAAATAAACAAATAGCTCTTCTTTACCCATTCTTCTAAATCTTCATTGATAAATCATTATATCTCACATGGGCCCACGAATTTGTAATATTTTTTAATCTTTTTTAAAAATACATAGACAAGGGACCTGTAAGAACAAAACAAACCAAAACAAAAACCTGGGGCTATCATGCTTCTGGAATCCAAGATTGTCCCTCTTGCCATTACTTCATAGCTCCTGGTGGTGCTGTTAATTTTCTTCACACAGAATCTGAAGTTAATCTTACTTTGGACTCACATTGGTTCTCCACCTGTGTAAATCCAGAGAAGGCAGAAATGCTGTCCCTGGACAGCATGTTCTGAAAAGAATATGTGCTTATGTCTCATATTCCCTACTTTGCCAAAACTTAGGCCACCTACCTTAAGTGAATCAACTGACAATCTATTAGAGCTAGATTATGCAATAAATAGGTTTAATCAATGACAAGAAAAATAGTATAATAGATTGAACACATCCCAACATCATCTAATGATCATGTTTTCCCCTGGTCAAGTGTTCTTTTAGGTTTCTACAGTTGGGGTTACATTTAGGGACAAGAAAACTATGTCACCAGAGAAACCATTTTCCTTATTCTAGAAAAGATGTGGAGAGATATCCCTGGTGGGGCTTTGTAGCTTTTTGATTGTCTTATCTTCTCCACCATGGGGAGAAAAATTGTCCTTGCTGATACATAAAAATTTCCTCCAATAACTACAACTCTTTGTGCCAAGAAATAGGTAAGTCCAAAGTAATGACAGATTATTATCAGTGAAACTTACCTACTAGGTTTCGTTCTGTGAAAGGGTTTTAAAATTTTATTTGTACGAAATTTGTTTGTATGAAAAATTTGTTTTTTAAGGCAAAGTGAAGACATTTTAGTGGCTTTATCTTTCTACATTTCAATTAAGAGAAACAATCTCCAAAGATTCACTAGGTCATATTATTATGACAATTTTTCTCTCATAGAGGTAAAAGTGGAACCATATATTAAGGATATTTGAAAATGCAAAAAAGGGTTGGCATATTTAATTAAGTTTATACAAGAAGACTGCATAGTAGGTTGAATAAAGAATTAGCTTTGGAATCAGAAAGACCTAGGTTCAAATCCTGCTTCTGACACATACTAGTTCTGCAATTCAGTAAAAGGCTTTTGACTCTCATTGTCCCCTCCTCCTACTCTCTCTGAGTTCATTGGATCACAGATTTAGAGATGGAGGGGACCTCAGAAGCCTTCTAGCCCAACCTCCTCATCTTGAGAGAAAGAACTAAGGTTAAGGCAATTGCCAGAGTAGTAGAAGGATTTGAACTCAGTTATCAAACTCCAGATCTAGTGTTACTTCCATTGAATCTTGAAACTGCTGATTTGGAATGGTGGTGGAGTTTTCAAAACAGGAGTTTTCTACACTAAAAAATCCATAGGTCTGCATAAAAAACCAAGAAACACTTTTTAGTCATTTAAATCTACACATTTTTATTCCATACACATCCATGAAGAACACATATGCTTATTTTGTCTGTTCATTAATAATCATAAAACAATAATTATTTTAGCTTAAACAGGTGCAGATATATCATTACAACTGTTGGCATGGTGACTTTTCCAAATGGGGGCATAGCAAAGCCACTCAGATTATCTCCATAGCACTGATATTATTTTATTAAGTAAAGAAAGGAAAAAGAAAGTGACAGAGAGGAAAAAAGAAAGAAGAAAAGAGAAGCAATAAAGCAAGGCTTAAAATTTGTAAGGGATTACTGGTTCCAAGGTTCATATTTACTCAAAGTCCTTGAACACGTTTTTCTATTGATTACCCAATCTGTTTTATAGTACAGTGAGACAATTTAATGTCATTTTAGTTTAGATATGAGGCCAGGCAACCCATAGTATAGCCTGCTCTGTACATTTTCTGTATTTTTTTTTCTTGAACCAATAATGTTCAAATGGTTGCCTTCATTGAGATGAATGAACTAACAAACTTTGGTTACATAATAGAGAATTACCTCCTTAAATCATACTCCTGCTTTGGCATTCTCTCCCAACCTGTTAGTGGTACCATAAAACTATGCTAGTGCTAGGAAATGAGTGCACTTGCATTAGAGGCTTTCTATTTCATGATACATAGAATCATAGATTTATAGCCAGGAAGGATAATACAGGCTATTTTTTCTAACTCATTTGTTTTAAAGATGAAGAAATTGAGGTTCACAGAGATTAAGTGACACTCCCAAGGTAATGCAAGTATTAGCTGCAGAGCTGGGTTTTGAGCCCAGGTCCTCTGACTATAACCCATGACTCTTTCCTGTATATGACATACATGAAAGAAATTGAATTTGACTTGTGCTTTGACTGAATGTTTTGGACAGCAAAACACTTTATGATAGAGTTTTGTAATCCTATGAACTTATTGATTGAAATACTCATGCCAGGATTCACATGAAGACAATCCTATTTGGGGAGAAAAAAATGGATTTTCAAATGTCTAGACATGTTCGGGTGCTTCTGTATTGACCCTTCAGTTTATGCCTCTCTGAGAAACTTACTTTCATCTCCTGTTTCAAATTCAAACTTCTGGCTGTAACCACTGTATCCTGATGCAGTCCTCACTCGGATGTGAAATATGTATTTTGTGGCTGGCTTGAGACCTGTGATGATAACACTGGGGGCCTTGGATCTTGTAGAAGAATAGCTGAGCTGTTCATGCTCCTGGGGAACAGAGGGAAAAAAAGGAAAGAAGACACAAAATGGAGTTACATTAGTTTTTCAGGAGTCACATTCCAAAGCAAAGCTCAGTTGGTGGTTACTCTGAATGTCAAGATCAAACAAGGTGCAAACATGGTTTTCCATTACTTGGAAATTTATTACCATCATGATGTATATGAAATGGTCTTGATTTGGAAACGTGTTAAGAAAGCTGATTTCATTGCACATCAAAATGTTAATTTCATTTTTGGTTGGGTGAGCTGGATTTATATTCTTCATAAAGGATGGGATTAGTGTGAGAGCATGTTCAAACACAATGGTACCTGAAGGAAACTGGCAGAATGGGCAACTGAGGAAATCAATCAACATTGGCAGAGTAAAAAAAAAATGATAAATGTGGGAGAATTGAAGGACCCACTACTCACTTCTACCCTCAGGTAGTGCCAAAATGCCGGCGCTATCCGTGGGTAGACCTGTGGGTGAAAGGAAAAATCAATTAATTTTTTAAAATTGGAAAACTTCTATCCTGACCTAACTGCTATACTTGTGAACTTATTTCTCCCCTACTAGCAGCAAGAGTTGTGTGTACTTAATTGGAGATACAACAAAGAAAATCGTATCACTTTGGGAATACTGCCCGCTAGCTATGACTGTTTGTGTTTTCAGTATTTGCAGGTTAAATGATCTATGTGAGGCCGGTTGGTTTCTTTTTTTGAAATCCATCTTATGAACAAGAATTAAAAGCATAAAAAGGATGAAAGACTTGCTCATGGTCACAGAATGAATCAGTGGCAGGGCTGGCGACTTTAGGCCCAGTCTCCTGCATTAATTGTCAAATAACTCTGTCTCTCTTATCTCACTAAGAGGTAATCGATTTGCAAAATCATACTGCTGGGTTTGGTTCAAGTATTTAAACTTGCTATCTACTACAGACTCAGAACAGAACATTCAATTTCATCTGTCCATATTTGAGCTCATAGCAATGAAGGAGTATAGGCTTTGTAGGTGTCTGAAAAGGTTATTTTGTTCCTATGGTTTTGTTTCAGTCTTTATTTATTTATTTATTCTTAATATGAACCCTGAAATATGATTGTAGGTTTGGATGGATGATTCATTCAAATTTATCCTAGTCAGACTTCTTTAAAATTCCCTCCACAGGTTTTTTTATGGGTCAAAGATGTTTTTGTTGTTATTCATTTGTTTCAGTTGTTTCTGACTCTTTGTGACTCCATTTGGGGTTTTCTTGGCAAAGACACTGGAGTGGTTTGCAATTTTCTTCTCCAGATCATTTTACAGGTGAGGAAACTGAGGCAATCAAGGTTAAGTGACTTGCCCAGAGTCACATAGCCAGTGTCTGAGGCCAGATTGTGCTGGCCTCAATTCCAGGTCTGGTGCTGCATTCACTGCACCACTTAGTTGTCCAAAGGAGGTTAGTCAGGCAAAAAGAGAATATGATGAAACATACAATGTTAGAATTATTTTGCTATCATGTTTCAGGACTGGGAATTTTTAAAGCATTTCCACCAAATATAGTTTTAGAATTTTTTTTTGGAGTTTACTCATTTTATTACCTCCCATTACATGTAAAAACAATTTTAAACAGTTTTTAAAGGTTTGAGTTCCAAATTCTCTCTCTCCTGATGGTCCCCCTCCCTGAGACAGTAAGCAATCTGATGTAGATGATACATTTGCAATCACGTAAAACAGTTCCATATTAGTAATTTTGTGCAAGAAGACTCAAAGTCTCTTCCTGCCCATTCCATTCTTCTTTTTTTTTGTATTTCTTTTTTTTTGAGATTCATTAATTTATTTATTTTTAGTTTTCAACATTCACTTCCACAAAATTTTGGTTTCCAAATTTGCTCCCCATCTCATCCCTCCCCCAACCCCAAGACAGCATGCACTCTGATTACCCTTTCCTGTAATCTGCCCTCCCTTCTATCTCTCCCCCCTCCTCTTATCCCCTTCCTCTTCTATTTTCCTGCAGGGCAGCATAGATTTCTATACCCCATTGCCTATGCATCCTATTTTCCAGTTGCTTGTGGAAACAATTTTTAACATATGTTTTTAAAACTTTGGTTTCCAAATGTTCTCCTTTCCTCTGTCCCCAGCCATCCTCATTGAGAAGGCAAGCAACTCCATACAGGTTATACTTGTGTAGTCATGCAAAAACACTTCCATAGTAGTCATGCTGTGGAAAACTAACTATATTTTCCTTCATCATATCCTGCCCCCAATTTATTTTATTCTCTTTATTGACCCTACTCCTCCTCAGAAGTGTTTGCTTCTGATTACCCCCTCCCCCAATCTGCTTCTCCCTCTATCATCACCCCGCTCTCTTATCCCGTTTCCCTGTATTTTCCTGTAGGGTAAGACAGATTTCCATACCTAATTGAGAGTGTATGTTATTCCCTCCTTAAGCCAAATCCAATGAGAATAAGATTCACTTATTCCCTCTCATCTTCCCCCACTTCCACTCCACTGCAAATGCCTTTTCTTGTCTATTTTTTGTGTGATAATTTGCCCCATTCTACCTCTCTCTTTCTCCTTCTCCCAGTATAATCCTCTCTCACCCCTTAATTTTATTCTCCAGATATCACCCATTCAACTTCAACTCACCCTGTGCCCTCTATCTATCTGTCTCTCTCTCTCTCTCTCATCTTTCTAATTTTTTCCTTCCAACTACCCTAATACTGGCAAAGATCTCATGAGTTACAAATATCATCTTTCCGTGTAGGAAAGTAAACAGTTCAATCTTAATAAGTCCCTTATAATTTCTCTTTCTTGTTTATCTCTTCATGCTTCTCTTGAGTCTTATATTTCAAAGTCAAAATTTCTAATCAGTTTTGGTCTTTTCATTAAGAATGCTTGAAAGTCCTCTATTTCACTGAATTTTCATTTTAACCCTGAAGGATTATACTCATTTTTGCTGGGTAGGTGATTCGTGGGTGTAATCCTATCTCCTTTGACCTCCGAATTATCATATTCCAAGTCCTCTGATCCCTTGATGTAGAAGCTGCTAAATCTTGTGTTATCCTGATTGTGTTTCCACAATACTTATATTGTTTCTTTCTGGCTGCTTGCAATATTTTCTGTTTGACCTGGGAACTCTGGAATTTGGCTACAATGTTCCTAGGAATTTTCCTTTGTGGATCTCTTTTAGGAGGTGATCAGTGGATTCTTTCAATTTCTATTTCACCCTCTGGTTCTAGAATACCAGGGCAGTTTTCCTTGATAATTTTTTGAAAGGTGATGCTTAGGCTCTTTTTTTGTTTGTTTGTTTGTTTTTTTTATCATGACTTTCAGAGAGTCCAATAATTTTTAAATTATCTCTCCTGGATCTATTTTCCAGGTCAGTTTTTTTTCTAATGAGATATTTCATATTGTCTTCTATTTTGTCATTTGTTTAATTTTGTTTTACAGTGTCTTGATTTCTCATAAAGTCACTAGCTTACATTTTCTCCATTCTAATTTTTAAGGAATTATTTTTGTCAGTGAGCTTTTGGACTTCCTTTTCCATTTGGCCAGTTCTGCTTTTGAAGGCATTCTCCTCATTGGTTCTTTGGATGTCTTTTGCCGTTTGGGTTAGGCTATTTTTTAAGGTGTTTTCTTCAGTTTTTTTTGGTCTCCTTTAGCAAGCTATTGACTAGTTTTTCATGATTTTCTTGCATCGCTCTCATTTCTCTTTCCAGTTTTTCCTCTACTTCTCTTACTTGCCTCTCAAAATATTTTTTGAGCTCTTCCATGGCCTGGAACAAATTCATATTTTTCTTGGAGGCTTTAGATGTAGGAGCTTTGACTTTGTTGTCTTCTTCTGGTTGAATGTTTTGATCTACTTTGTCACTAAAGAAAGATTCGATAGTCTGACTTTTTGTGCAGTTTACTCATGATCCCAGCTAATTACTTGAGTTATAAACTCTTTGTTAAGGTAGGAGTCTGCTTCCAGTGTGGAGAATATACTGTCCCAAGCTTTAGGGGTTTTGTGCAGCTGTTTTCAGAGATAAATTCTAGGGACTTGTGAGTTTTCAGTTCTTCAAGGTGGTATGGTCAAGAACGAGATGTTTACTTCTCTTCTGGCCTGTGCTCTGGTCTATGAGTGACCACAAACACTCTTTTCTGTCTTGGAACCATGAGGAGGATTTTCTCTTTACTGCCACTACAAGTTCCACAATACCAGCACTCCTCCTTGCCACCCAGAACTGTGACCCAGATCCAAGCACAGACAAAGCAAAAGAATCCTGCCTTAGTGCAAGCAAAGAGATCCCTGCAATCCCCCTCTTATCAGCCACTTGATTCCCCCTCCAGTCTGTGGGCCTGAAGCTCCAGAAGCAGCCACCATCCTGGAGCTGTAGCTGGGACTGGGGCTGGGACCAAGCTTCTCTCTCACTGTGGTCACAGACTTTTCCTACTGACCTTCTAAGTTCTCTTTGTCATGCATGGGTTAAGAAGTCTGGGAACCACCACAGCTCCCTGTGATTCTTTCCTTTGAGGTCTGCTCCAGGTTTGCTGAGGCCTGGTCTTTGCCTGTGCACCCATGCTGAACTGTGTTTCTCTCCCAGCCTGGTGTGATAGACCTTTCTAATCAACCATCTAGGTTGTCTTGGGCTGGAAATTTGTTTCACTCTGTCTTTTTGTGGGTTCTGCTGCTTTAGAATTTATTTAGAGCCATTTTTACAGGTATTTGAAGGGGTTTGGGGGAGAGCTCAAGCAAGTCATTGCTTTTACTCCACCATCTTGGCTCCACCTCTGCAAAGAGGTTTGAGCCTCCCCCCTATAAGATCTATAATGTTAATAGTTTTATCCTCATATTATAGATGAGAAACATAAGCTACAAATAGACTAAGTGACTTAGTTACCTGGAAGGAAAGGCCTATGAGTGTCAAAGCTAAGATATAGATCTGAGTCTTCTGACTCCAACATCAGTGCTCTATTCACCATATTATGCTGCTACTGATGATGCTAATTTTGACCTGTCCTATGCACTTAATCATTTTCTTTCTTGG